GTGTTAAAGTTCAATAGTAAATTGAGCTGTACTGGCAGAAGCTAGAACAAAGCCCAGTTCTTCCTCCCTAGTCCGTGAAGTAGCCTGATTTCTCTCCTGAGAACCCTAGGGCTTCCTCGAACACAGTTTAAAACTCCTTAGCTGTACCAGTGCTGTTTTGCCAGGGGCAGAACTCTGTACAGACTGAGTGCTTGCACATCTTGAAGGAATCACAGGAACTGGAATCAGGGTAGAGGGGCCCAGCCAGAGGTTAAGTGCAACAGCTGTATCCTTAAGCGCCTGTGTGTAGCAGAGGTCTGACTACATCCCAGAACCTAAGCACTAGGAGGATGCCTCTCTGCAGAGCCTCCAGAGGGCAATGTAGGCCACACAAACACAACCCAGACATAGGGTCAAGATGGCCATAGGCCAGGTAGAAATTATACTAGAATGAATGGGATATCTTAGAGACAGCTCAAGTTACTAAGGAGTTCCTGGTTTCCCTAGCCAAAAAGAAAATAGCTCATTAGCCAGGGCACTAGCCAGAGTGCCCTGGAAGCCTTCTGTCATTTGCACAGCCTCTTTCTCCTATCCTACTCCCTGACATTCTGTGTGGGAACAAGCTCTGGCCACATCCTGGTGGCAGCTCCAGCATTTACCACACAAGTGGGCACTGTGCCCTTTCTTGCCAGAGTTGCTTTGGGAAGGACACTGGAGAGGTGCTTTTCTTACTGTTTGCCTAGGCAGGGACTGGGAAGTACAAGTGCTAGAATTTTAAGGGGCATTTGTAGTACTAGGGAAGTGCATGTTGCACTTTTCCATTGGGTATTTGTGGCACTTGCGTGCTTCATGTGGGTTCTGAGGGGAAACATGGGAGTAGAGGTAGCTTGTAGGTGAGCTGTAAAAACCAAGAATTAGGAGATACTATACATATAGTTAGTGCCTTTGGGGGCTTTGAGCAACTGTTTGGCTCTAAAGATTTGAGGTTGGTTTTCCTTGGGAGGACCAGCAGCCTGGCCTAAGGGGCATCCCTGTGCACCCACCTGCATTCTAGTTTCTGTTTGCCGCATGTCTGGGAATACTTCCAGCTGCACTACCAGACCCAGACGCAGGTGACAGCCTTTCATCTGTACTGTAGAGAAACCAAGAGGAAATTAAATGTCATTTGCCCCCTACACAGTGGGTTGCTGCTGCCAGATCAGACACTGCTGATCAGAGTTGTGCAGAGGGCACCCAAGGGAAAGCTTCTGCTGCATCCATGTCCTCTGAGCTGTGGAGACTCCCAGGTGATGGCCTGGCTCAATCCCAGTGCTTTCTCTGCCTGGCTAGGTTCACCCTGGCCTGTAGCCCAGCCTAGTGCTACATGGCAGCTGTGGCCTATGCCATGCCAGAGAGGCGTGTATACCAGTGGGAAAGAGTAGAGATGGGCAGGGTTTGGCAGTAGAAGACACACAGGAGACGGTGACGTGACCAGTTCTTCCTCTGAGAAGCTACATGGTATTGTAGGAAGAACAAGGCCTTTCAAACTAAAGGAGACTTGGATACAAGTCCTGGCTCTGCTGCTTGTTAGCTGGAGGATCTTGGGAAAGTCTCCTAAGCACCCAGAACCTCCATTTCCCCCTCTGGAAAATGATCCATATTACCTCTGTCTCCTGACACCTGCGGGGAAGTAGCTTCCTGTGGAACAGGTGTGAGAGTCTTCTCACCCCACTTTCCCTAGGTTCAGGAGAATGGCCCGTATGGCCTCCCTTGTGGAGTTAGCTGGAGTTGGATGAAGTGGGATGGGTGGAAATTCTGGTGGGAAGACACAGCAGCTATCCTTTCGCTGCCTGGGGCTGTTCCTTCTTCGTTCTCCCAACTGAGCAGCTCAAGGGCTCTATGAGAGAAGCATAGGTGGTGGTAGTAAGGCAAGGTAGCAGACTTGCGAGAGGTCACTTATCCTAATGGGGAGGTGGGGCTCAGCTGACTCCCCCAGCTTCACACTTGTAATCCCCTTCCTGTTTGAGAGCACAGCAGGGCTTGCCCCAACCTTCCTTTCCTTGAAGTCATGGGTAGGCCATAGTTCTCAACTCTGCAATAATATATATTAACAGGGCTTTGGAAAAAGATGTTTTAGTGTTTCGAGAGTTCTCCCAGGAAAACTCCCCACCCTCTACCTCACTCCCTTCTGAAGCATGGCTGCTGGTGGTGAAATTCATTAGTGTTCCCTGACAGGCAGTGGCGACAGAGGCGCTCGCTGTCTGCTTCCCTCTCCCTTGCTCGCTCTCCTGCTCCTGCTTCACGCACACTGATATTTAAAGCTGATGGGCTGCTTATAGACTTCTTGTACCATGACAAGTTTGGGGAGGAGGTGGGAGAGGAAGAGACAGACAAGGAGCCAGCTGTCATGCTGGTATTTCAAACACTACTCTCTCCTGACCCTTTGCAGGCTCCAGCAAGTGTATCATCTTTCTGAAGCCTGTGGTTGGAATTGTAACCTGCAGACATCCCAGAGGATGGGAGCAAGTGTGGGGGCAAAGTGGGCTGAGAAGTCGGCAGTGCATTCTCCCAGGGTTATGAGCAAACAGAACAGTGGAGGGACAGGAACACATGTGCATAGAGTGCTTGTTGGGCAGAGAGGATTGAAGCTCAGTCTCTGTAAGTATTCTAGGATGTTACCCCCATCGAGAATGAGGAGGACCTTCCTTAGCAGTTACTTCTATATTGTTATGTTTAGGCTGTGCTTATCTCCCAGATGGGCCTGGGAGCCTATGACTATAGGAATCAGACTTGAATAGCCACTACTTTGAGCATCTCAGGTCTTAGCAGTGATCATTAAAATGTGTGATGGTCAGTAAAGGTAGAATGTTCTCCCATTTTGTATCTAGAGTGGGGTCTAGGCTTTTGTTCCCTAGCAATTGTGTGCTTATTCTTTGAATTTAAACATTAAATCCTTAGATTTCTCTTCCATCCCCTTAGTCGAGGTATCTAGGAATTCATTTTTGAAGCTACTAAGTGATTCTCGAACTTCCTCTTTACCTTTTGCCCCCAGCCATGCTTCTCCAGTATATTTTTTTTTGTGGCTAAGGTCTTATTAATTCAAGTGACCCAGAAGCATCTCCAAAGGCTGCTGGAGGTTTGGTGTCTGCTGATCTTCTAACCAGAATTCTCTCGAGTCCTCAGTTTCAAAACATGTTTCTGTTGGCTGACTCCTTTAACCCTCACAGAGGACATGGAGGGGATGTTGATTACTCAAGGATACATGATTACTTGAGCAAGTTGTGCCTTAGTACAGTAGAGCCATAGAGCAGAATGGTGGGTGAACTGTACTGCCTACCCCTGAGGTCGAGCTTTCCAATGTTCCAGGCCCCACCATAGGGGAGGATCACTGGGGAGACCAGGCTTCTCTCTTCCCAGCTCACTGAGCCTTATCAGTGCCAGTAGTGCTGCCATTCCAGGCACAACAGACTGGAAGTCTGTCAGATTGCCACACCTTCTGTTGAAGGGTTGAGCAAGAGTGCTTTTTTTGGTCTATAGATTTAAGTGTATTCTTGAACCATCAAGAACCACATTTGATATGATCAGTACCTATAACCTTCTAGTTCTCAGTCTGCCCCCACACCTAGCAGTCCCCTGAAGCCTGCCCTGTAGGCTTCCAGTCCTTGGCTTCTGACTTGGACATCTTTTTGTTTCTCCCTTTTCTTGCCAATTCCTAACACTGACTGAGGGCTAGGCCTGCCTGGGGTAGGCCTGTGTTGTGTCTTCTGATGTGGTGCATCTTGCAGTTAAGAAGGAAACTAACCAGCTTTGATCAGTAGAAGGCTTGAACATTAATTTTTTATACACCAGCAATAGCCAAGTGAGTGAATTCAATTATGAGTCTGCTTTTTCTCTACCTTCCTCCCCACAATGTGGTTTAGAGCTGAGACAGGAACCTGTTGAAATGAGAAACCCCTATTTCCTAGCTTGACCCCCTCACTAATTCGGGTTAAATTGCTGTGCTATTGCAATGGTGACACATTGTGTCTGCCTCTGTTTGTATAAGAGGATGCAGTGGGGGAGGAAGGACCAATTTGTGCAAAGATAAAAGGTGTCACAGGCAGATAACTAACGTCCCAGCCTCATGCCTGCTCTCATTGTTGCTCAATTTGCTCTGTGTGTAAGCTCAGCCTTCCCCTCTTTCTTTCTTCCCTCCCCTTGGTCATATTTTACCTCAATGCCACAGTGTAATGATGCCCTGCGTAGTGGGGGAGGAGATAGGCACCTCTGGCTGACAGCCCTTCCTGATAACCAAATTCCAGCCCATCCATCACTAGCTACTCTACTCAACTTGAGGAAAAGTGATCGTGAAAGGCTGGCCGTTCATCACCTGGGCTCTGTTTATCTCCTCTGGGTGGGGAATGGAAGCAGGAAAGACAAAGAGGCATGTCCCCAGCTAAGTGCTGCCCAGGCTGGTGTAACTGGCACATGCTGAATGTAGACTCAACATCATGCAGACTTGTACCCTTCCTAGTTAGTAGACTGGGCTCCAAGGAGCATGGTGGCCTTCCTGAGGCTCAGTCTCTGCACAAACAGGTTAGTGTAGGAAATTGTGGCAGTTCTGAGATGTAGGATAGCTGATGACAACACTCTTTGAGAGTGCTTGTTTTGGAATGGGCATAGGAGGAAACTGGCTGGAAGCAAGCCGCACACACCCCAGAGGTTTCTCTTTGCAGCGTTACAGAATTTGAGATCACTGGAGAAAAGACCACTCAGACTCAAAAAGTTCCGAATCAGCCGAATTTATTTAGCTGGCCAGCGACTAACCTCTCTGGGCCAATTTAGAGAATGCAACACTTGCTCAGAGGAAAGTAAAGCTTTTAAAGGTAAAGTTCGTATCCTGATTGGTTGGTTTAAGATTTAGCTGGCCAGCAACTGCACTCTCTGAGCCAATTTAGAGAATGCAGCAGTTACTCAGAGGAAAGTAAAGCTTTTAAAGGTAAAGCCCATGTCTTGGTACAAGATTTACTCAAACACAAGCAGTTACATGTTTGTTCCTGTAGGTGGGCAAGCAAGCAGGTACAGAAGCCAGATAAGCAGTCACAAAAGCAAGATAAGTCTGAACTGGAGCTTCCCAGGATTATATGGGTGTGTTCCTCTGAGATCAGCTCTTCCTGGAACTGCTGGCCCCGGCCACGGTGAGGCCTGGGATGGCTCACCAAGATGGCAATCTTACACAAAATGAAGGAGCTCAGGATATCCCAGCAGGATCTCTTTGGCTTCTCTGGGCCCACTCCTTCCCAAGGCTAGGCCTCTGTGACTCCACAGTTCACTCACGACTTTTGAGATGCCCTTGTCTGCATGTCACAGGAACACAGTGCTCCATGCAGATGAGCAGTCTGTGCACATCCCAGTGCTGCTGGGCACCGAGATGGACAGTCCACCACATTTTGAGATCCAGGTCCCATGTTTTTTTCTAAGAGGCAGAAAGGAGTACAGGATGACTCCTATAGACTGCTAGTCCCCTCATTAAGGTCTTGAATCTTCTGAAAGTCAGACTCCCAAAAGTGTGTTTATTGGTAAGACTTGAAGAGATAAAAGCATGTAAAGAATAATGTCTGTGACCTTTTCCAGCACAGGTGCCAGCTCTCTTGCTGGACCTGCCTGTTGGTGTCTAGCTGCCAATCTGTCTCTCAGACCTCTGTGGTCTCCTTCACTTAAACCTAGCAGCTCCCTGCCCCCACCAGCTCTGTTCACCTCATCTTTAAAACTGAGCCCCTGCTCACAATGGTTCCACCTTGGCCATACCCATTAGCAAGGGGGGTGGGTATTCCCTTAATGAGCTGCTCCCCTGCTTTGCCTGGCGCCAAGCTAGCCACACCTGTTTGCCATCAGGACCGTCTGGGCCAGACCAGAGTGGTTCAGTTGCAGGTGGTAGGACTGAATGAGGGCTGGGCTAGAGAAGGCAGGCGTCCTTTTGCTTTGTTGTCAGTGCTTGTGGGGAGGGAGCGTTTCCTACAATCCTGTCCTCCCATATAATTCTCTTCTTTCTAAGCTGAAGCAGACTTCAAAAGGATCAACAGGGAAACTTGAGGAGCCCCTCATCTTTTCTAATTTCCCCCTGATTTAGAAGGAAGGAGCCTGTCAAGCAGCTGAAGATAGGATTTGAGGCTCTGTTCTGGTGACCTGAGGGGCCAGTGTGATAAGAGCAGGACACAGGGTAAATGCTGAGGTAAAGGCCCTTTCTAGCCCTAGCCCATACTATTTGAAAAGTGATCATGTACCTTGGTTTAGAGCCCATAGGCAGGATTGGTATGGCTGTGGCGGGGGGGGGGGCACGTCTTCCTTAAAGGGGGCCCCTTCTTTCTATTCATGAAACTGAAGGAAGTTTTGATTTGGTGGGGGGAAAAAAAAACCCATTCCTTTTTATGGCTTGGACATAATTGGGTCTTTTCTATTGGCCATCAGTGATGTCATTCCAACCCTCATAAAGAAGGGGAAATCACACCTGTGGACTCGGTGCATAAAATTTCATTGGGCAACAGTAATAAGCATGAGCAGATGATGTTTGGGCATTTAGGGAGCTTTGTGCCCAGTGAATCCAGCTGCATAGAGACCTGGGCACCATAAACTTGCCTGCACGTTCATGCCCCCAGGCTAGTCCAGGGCCCACTGCCAGTGGCTCTTTTCTTGGGATCAATAGCTGGTAGAAATTTTAACAGCATTTAGACTCTTTTGCAGAGGGTCTTTTACCCTTTTCTTTTCCAAATTAGTGGAACCATGTGTCTACTAGTACCTAGTGACCCTGGCTTTAGGCTCCTAAGAATATTGAATAAAAGTATGACCTTGAGCAGTTAACCATCTTACCTGCTTCTGTCAGGCCCCAGGCTTTGCCCTCTCAGGGACTCTCTGGAACTCTAGATGAATCGATGCAACTCGTACCTGTGCAGTCAGAAGCCTCAGTCCATTTCTACTTCTGTTCTTGGATTGTATGACTGAGCAAAACCCTTTTCTTCACTGAACTTCAGTTTCCTCTTTTGTGTAGATGGTAACCACTCTAACCCACCTTGCTCAAGTGTTAATCTTTTTGTGCTCTCTAAGCTGGGGTAGGAAGGAGTGTGTGATAGAGATGTATAGCTGTTATCCCATGAGACACCTGGGAGTTCAAGTTCTAACTCTTGACTCTGTGTGAAGATGAACCTGGACCCTGTTTGTGCTTAGAATCACAGGGCTGGAACATTGAGAGGATCAGTCAGCAACCCAATCTGACAATTTCATGCATAGAGCTCCTGAATGACACTGACATACCATCACTTCCACCCCAACCCCACCTGACAATGCTCCAGTCAGACAGAGGGTACAGAGTGGCACTCAGGACTGCTGCTGAGCCATGATCTAGTCTGTCTTTACAGTGACTCCTGTGGTATAGATGGTCCTTCAAGAGAGGTAGGCAGGTCCCTACTGAGCTAGACCCTTCCTAACCTGATGGTAATGTCTCTAGCTGTTGCGTACTCTTGAAATCTTACAGAAGAGGAAGCCGCTTATCCCCTAGGGCTGGCCAGAACCAATAGGCCTCCTGGCCTGTGCTTTAGCAATCAGGAGATGCTGAGGTTGGCTATGGGAAAATAAGATTAGAGGTTCCCTGCCCTTTTCTGGTCAGTCTCCCTGTTCCGTTTCTTCTTCTGATGGCCTCTTCACTCCCAGATCTCAAAGTAATTTTTCTAAAATAGCTGAGCTTGGACACCAAGGATAAGGAACACAAAAGAAAGAAAAGGGAATAAGATGATTCATGCAGTTTGGTTAGTTTTGCTTCCCAGGCAATTCATTATAGCTTCCTAGGTTGCCTTTCATCCTTTAGTCTCAACCTGATGATATCTGGTCCTTAGCCCTACATAGACATACCTTCTCTGGACATCCCTTCATACTCTTGAATTTCTCCAGAAATTGTCTTCCAGAAAACTAGCTAGTTATAGTTAGTGTCACTGTGCCACCTGCATGTTTGAGAGGACTCTGCCCCTCAAGAAAAATATCATGGGTCTCATAAAAGTGAGTCTTTACCTGAAGCATGGAAGTCAACTTCCTGTTTAGCATCTGTCAAGTATTTGAAAGGTGATGGACGGAAGGCTGGACTTCCTTCAACTTTCTGAGCTAAACTTGCCATTTCAACTGGATTCTCATAGCCAGAATTCCTAAGAAAAGGAGTCTGTACTTGTAATCTCCATTCTCTTAAGTGGTTCTTTCCTCTCCCCTCCCTCATTTGGCCTTCTGACATTGACACTGGACTCACCAAGATCACTTGTGACCTCCATATTAGGAAGTCCATTGGGTTTTCTAGTTCTCAACGTGTTTGACCACTCTCTGACATTTACGTTTAAAGTTAAAAAAATCAGTTTTATATATTACATTTCTATATATTGCTTCCATAGTTTAGGCTGACTGCAAGCAATAAGAAGTGGGGAAGAAATAAGCATATGTGACCTCTGAGAAAGAGGATGAGTTGGGAGAGTCCTAACCCACAGTATTGTCTCTTGAGGAACCCTGGGAGGAGATAAGGGCCTGTGGCCCGAAGAAGGGAACTATGTGGGAGGCTTTCTGAGCTCTCAGATTTTAGAATGGTTTTGCAAGGAAGAAATGAAGTTTTGTTTTCTGCAGTTTCTGAATAGATACCTTAGACTAATGGATAAAAGTACTGGAGAGGTGCTGGAGAGATGGCTCCATGGTTAAGAGCACGAGTTGCACTTACAGAGGACCTGGGTTCGGTTCCCAGCACCCACAATGCGGCTAACACTGATCTTTAACTCTAGTTCCAGGAGATCTGACACCATGTTCTGGCCTCTGCTTGTATTACATGCACAGGTACACTTATATACATACAGGCAAAATACTCATACACAGAAAAGAAAAATCAATCAAAAAATTGTTTTAAGAAAGTAATGGAGGGGCTGGAGAGGTGGCCCGGTGGTTGAGAGTACTAGCTGCTCTTGGCAGAGGACCCAGGTTCAGTTCCCAGCACCCACATGGCGGCTAGCAACTGTCCATAGCTTCAGTACCAGGGAATCTGATGCTCTCTTCTGACCTCCCTGGACATTGCACGGCACAGATGTACTTACACACATGCAGGCAATATATTTATATACATAAAATAAAAATAATAAAATTTTTTTTTCAAAAAGAAAGCAATGGAGAGACAGACTTTAGTATTTCAAGAAGGTTGTTCTAAAATTAAATCCAAAGCTAGAGCTGCTGCTGTACAAAGTGTGAGTTTCTTGTGTACAGCAGTGATCTGGTAAATGTGGTTTCATTTTAATTCAGTAAAATAAGACACAAGCCTGGGCCCTCTGCCCACCCCACTCTGTACTCTCTCAGGTGTGCTGGTCTACTCCTGTGGCTTTAATTTTACTTACAATAATGATTCACACTATATATCCCACATCTAGAGTTCTCTGCTAAACTGGATAGCTTGCTGTTTTCTAGGCATCTTTCCACTACCAGTGTCTCTTAGGCATCTCAAATTCAGCAAAGCATGTGTCAAGAATTTTATCTAAATCTGCATTCCCCCAAGCCTGCTTACTTCCAAGAATGTACTAAGAGTGAGGCAGTCAGAACAATCTATCCCAGTTTATGCAGTAAGGAGTATGCTTTTTGCATAAAACTTAAAGCCAGTTACAAAATTAACCAGATGCTGGCCTCTCTGGGTGTTAAGCATGCTTTCTATGTCACCACCACCTTTTATCTCTGTAGCTTGAAGCTAGTTGTCTCAGTCTGTTTTGTGTTGCTATAAGAGAATGGTGAAGACTAGATAGTCTAGAAATATTACAGTTCGGGAGGCTAGAAAGACCAAGATTGAGGGGACCACATCTGCTGTGGGGCTTTTGTCTGCATCATCTTGTGGTGGAATGCAGATGAGCTAAAAGAGCACACAATGTTTATGTGGGGATGTGGGGAAGGAGAGAGAAGGCAGAGGCTGAGATAGAGCCGCAAAGGAAGGGAACTGATCTCAACCATTTGACAGGAGCCCATGTCCTCTATAACTAACCCATTTCTGTAGTAATGGCAGTAATTCTATTCATTTCTTTAAGGTCTCTTCTCTCAGTATTGGGCATTAAGTGTTTAGCAGATGAGCTTTGGAGACAGTCAAACTGTAGCACTACCCCAAGCTGCAAATCTTTGACTTGGGCTCTACTGCTTTCCCTTTTGGGCTGTGTTCTTTTTACGTTTTTTCCCCTTGTGGTTTCAGAGGTTTCTGTCCATGACTGCTCGGCCCTGTTGCTTTGGGCCTGTGCCATCATCTCTCCCTGATGGCAGTACAGTGCATCATGGGAGAGAAAGACTGTTTATCTCCTGGTGTCTGCTTCTCCACTGTAACAAGACAACAACAGATATGTTGGAAAAAGCGTAAGCTTTGGAGTCACCTCCCTTCCTTCCTCCTCTTCTCTCCCTTCTCTCTTCCTTCTTCTCTCTTTCCCCCAACTCTCATGTTGAAAGAGGGAAGTGAGGGAAGGGCAGGAGTCCCAACTCCCCTACCATGGCATACCTCTTATGAGCTTTCTCCAAGTAGACTCTACTTCCTGAAGCTCTACCACTCCCCTGTAGTACTACAGACTAGGGAACAAGTCTTTAGCCTTTGGGGAGTCATTCAAGATTTGAATTATAGTAGAGGCACTTTCCAGGCCACTGGGTCCTCTTTTATAACTGCTATATCTGTCTCTTGAGCACTATCTCTACCACTGCTGTCACTAGCCTCCTGGTTACCACCTTGCTTTTTTGCCTGACAACTCCTCAGAGGTGCTCTTGCCTGTGGCTATTTCTTTTAGAAAGAAAACACTGTGATCTTTCCTGGCTTGTATTCCTGTTGACATTTTCCTCTGTCCTTCCACATGTTCCTCCACTCCAACTTAAGGTTACTACTATTTTCATTTGCTGTCCATTTCTAAAAACACAGTTCTTTATATGTATAGTTAGCTCTTTTTGAATTATAAGTTGCTGCCCCTTGTTAGGCATTACACGTTTGATGATCTGATATGCATGGGTAAAATGGCACTGTAATCAGAGGGGAGACAGGACAGCCAGAAGTTCATGATCATCCTTGACTATATATTGAATTTGAAGGTAGCCTTGGCTACATGAGACCCTGTCTGAAAAGTAGAACACAATAAACAATAATATCTACCACACAACATCACTATGAGGAAAAATGTAAGTAAGGTACTTAACATACTAAAAATAGAACAACATACTAGAAAATGGTAACTGCTGATATTGTTCTGTGTTGTGTCTCCCAGCGCTTACATTTGGATCTGAGGGATAGTTCTGAGCCCAGTATCCATGGTGCTGACATATTGACCTTTGTGATGTGTCTATTCTGTAGACTTTATTGGACTTTGTAGCCTAAGACTCCACACTTGGGACATATATGTATCCAACATTCTCTCTTCCTTTTCTTCTAGGCTCCCAGGCCAGTGCCATTACTTGGGTTTGCCAGTGGCAGATTACTTCAAGCAATGGATTAATCTGAAAAAGGTACTCTGTGAACCCCACCCAGGGCCTTGGTTGCCTTTCTTTTTGTTCTCTTTTCTCAGTATTCTTTCTTTTTCTTTCCTAAGTAATGTGCACTGAAATATTGCTATTTCTGGGAGTGGAGAGCTTCTTGAGGGTCAGGACTAGGTAGAGTCCTACTTATTCTCCTCCAGTCATATACAGAAGTCCCAGCTACAGGTATTTTTTTCTAGAGTTTTCAGTCAGAGCTGAATCTGTGAGCTGAACTGTGTCGTCACTAGGAGACATTTGGTCCTAACTGAGCCTTTGAGAAGGCATTTTTTTTGGCTGTCCTTGTGAGTGTGGCCTCTGAGCCACATGACACTTTCATATCCCCTCTATTTGGGAAGAGGGGTTTGTCTAACATGGCTCTGGTCTCACCTGGTCCCAGCAGAGCCTTGATCACATAGGGGAAGACTACAGAAACTGGAATCCAGTCCCTTTGGGATACAAAGGAGTAGCTTGGCACTAATACAGCACTGTAGACTTAAGAGTGTTAGCATGGGGCTATAGGCCTCAAAGGACCCTGTGTAGCCAGGATAGTGCCCTGGTAAAGAATGAATCACCTAGAAAGCTCTCCTTCCCAAGCATGTGCTATGCTTCCTAGGAAAGCAGAAGGGAGAATGTGTAGGAGCAAACGTCTCAGTTTCTTGCTCTGGAGAAATTGTTGTTCCAGGAGGCCTAAAACAGTAGGAGAATGATCCCACAAGTCCATTCTGATGGAGCAGCCTCAGTGTCTGCCTTATGCTACCAGTCAGCTTAGTGTCTTGGAGAAAGAAAACACATCAGGGGCCAGGGTAGAGGCTCCCTGGAAGCTTAGAAAAAAGAGGCCATCCAGAGATCAGCTTAGGTATTATGAAGATTTGGCTCTTTTTTAAAAAAATATTTTATTTATTATTTATTTTTATTTTATGTGTATGCATGTATTGCCTGCATGTACGTAAGTACACATATGTCATGCAATGCCCAAGGAAGACAAAAGACGCTGTCAGATCCCCTGAAACTGGAGTTACAGACAGTAGTTAGCTGCCATGTGGGTGCTGGGATTCGAACCCAGTTCTTCTGCAAGAACAATCAGTGTTCTTAACCGCTGAGACATCTCTCTAGCCCGAAGACTTGGATCTTAACAGTGGTCAATCAAGGAAATAGGGATATGAATGTAAGGAGGAGAATGCTTTATAGGCAGGGAGAACAGCCTGCTTTTGGTGTATGTGGTTGAAGCTAAACAAATACGTGGACAGAGAGCCAGTTCTATAAGTATTTGTTCCACACTATGATGCCCATGGACTTGCTTCTTTCTTTGTGAGTATTTGTAAGCACTCTGGCTTCTTTGTTCTTTGGCCCCTACCCACCTCTCCTGCTGATCACCCATGCAACTGAGTCCCTGCCACTTAATGCTTCTCATCTTTGGCCGAGGAGGCTAATCTCTGTTTTATCTTTGAGCCTTGGCCTGTGGTCTTCTCCCTATATGAAATGTCCCCTAGTCATCATCAGGAATATTCCTTCTCCTTGAATAGTCAATTCAGATATCATTTCTGCTGAGCCTCTCTTGCTGTGAAGCTCCTTGGACTTGGGATATGGATTAACTCAATTGAAACTGAGTCCATGCTTATTTCCTTCCAATTGTGTCCATCTGGAGCACAGAGACAGAGTCTGGTTCTTCCCTGTGTCCCCAGTGACTGGCCCAGGGGAAACTGGACATAGAGTTGTATGCCATTGCTGACTACCTCCTCACTGAGAACTAGCTCCATAGAGGCTCTCCTGGTTGAAATTTGGCATGCCTGTGTGGATGGGCATGCTGTTCCAGAAGACAGTGTGCCAGTTGTCAGAGCTCATCTGAGGCTGCTTGCTGGCCTCAGCAAATGCAATGTGAAGGCCCAGCCAGGTGAGGCAGGCACTGACCATGAACAATTACTGTGTGAAGTTCACTAAACTTTTTGGTGTGTGGATAGCTCCCTGCCTCTAGGTTCCTTGGCAGAAGGGCAGGACAACAGCTGACCCATATGGTAACACTAGGGTCACCTTGGTGCTGCAGGCCATCTTGAGCCTCTTCAGTTAGTTCTCCCCTGGTCTGCCAAAAACAGAGGGAAGGAATGGGTGTAAAGGGAAACTGAGGAGCCTATTCCCAGTTGACCTTATGTTTTCTTCTTGTGAAGTAAACTAAGCAGACCCAAGGAAAACAAGGGGTCTGACCCCTTCCTCTCTAACCTCCAGCCACGTTATATCCCAGGTGTACAACTAAATGAGCCACTGGGAAGAAGTCTGTATTCCCATTTCCCATGGCCTCTAGTCTGAGAAGAAATGGAAGGCTGTCTTTCAGCTGCCCTCTTGTCTCCAGAAACTGTATAGGCTGCCTCAGGAAAGAACAACTTTTCAATTGCCAGGTTTCTACATCTCCCACCTCCACCTACTCCCCTGTAGCAGAAGGGAGCAAGCCACTATTTGCTGACATTTGGAATGTCATTGAATGATCTTAGATTTTTATTGAGCTGTCAGCTTAGAAAAAGACTTGGGGACCTGCTCCCAGCTCCTTCCAGGAGGTTACTCCTGTTATTAAGGGGCCAGAATGTATGTACATATGCACACTAATACACACATGTATGCATGTGAACAAATGCATTCAATAGTGTATGTATGAGCCAGGTATGGTGGTACACACCTTTAAAATCCCAGAACTTAGGCGACAGGTGGATCTCTCTGACATTGAGGCCAGTCTGATCTACATAACAAGTTTCAGGCCAATTAGGGCTACAAGGAGACCCACTCTGAAAAAAAATAAAAGAATTTTGTATGTACATATTGTTACCTGTGTATGCACATACATAAACATAGTCGTCTGCAGAAATATTTGGAAATATGCATAGACATAACTTTATTCACATGTACTTATCCATAAAGTATAAAGACATATGTATATATAAATATGTACATCTTATAGCCAGGCATGGTGGTGCATGCCATTAATTCCAGCACTTGGGAGGCAGAGATAGGCGGATTTCTGTGAGTTCCAGGCCAGCCTGGTCTACATAGGGAGTTCCAGGCCAGCTGGGGCTACAGGAAGACCCTGTCTCAAAAAAGCCTAAATACATACATACACCTTCACCCATAAACACATATTCTAGAGTGCCTTCTGTGTGCCAGGTACTGTGTTAGGATCTGGGACTGTAACAGAAAAGATGGATAGCGAGCAAATAATTTCACTTCCATTTAGTAACACATTTTCTGTTTTCTGTTTTTGTGAGACAGGATCTCTCTATACCTCCAGCTGGCCTGGAACTCACTACGTAGACCAGGCTTGCCTCAGACTCATAGAGATCCATCTGCCTCTGCCTTTTGAGAGATGGGATTAAAGGTATGCACCACCATACTTGGCCCAGTAACATGTTTAAAACAGTTCAGGGTTGTGGATCATATAATAAAGAACTTGATTTCTTGAGGTAGAGTTCAAGAATAGTTTCCTGAGAAAGCATATCTAAACTTCATTCTGAAGGAGGGATTAGCTAAGCATGGGAAGCAGCATGTGGGGAGGCCCTATAAGGGGAGGAGAAGCCTGACATCTTCATTGAAGCTAGGAAGATAGAGATGAATGGGTCATGGCACACAGGTACTTAATTGTTATTTGTTGAATGAATGACAGCCAAAGCCTGGGGAATATGGGAAGAGGAGAGGTGTGGTATGAGTTGAAGCTAGAGGGAAAGGCAGGTGCTTGTAGACCGTATTTTGATTTTGGCTCTTATCTTTAGGGTAAGGGGAAGCTACTAAAGGGTATTAAGAGAAACATCATCTCATTTGTTTTTGTTTATTTTGTTTTGTTTGAGACAAGATTCCATGCTATAACCCAGGCTGACTAGAGCCTACAAGTCCTCCTGCCTTAACCTCCAGAGTGCTAGGATTATAAGTGTTAGCCACCATGCTCATCTCGCTTGCATTTTTTTCACAAAGCTCTCTGGCTGTAGAATAGAGGGAACCATGAGAGACCAGTTACTGGTTTTTCCTAATGGGGCTGCATTTGGCCTTTTTAGGTGGGACAAATCATTATATGAGTGACACTGCCAAACTTGTAGCATTCCTGGCCCCTTTTCTGAATACTACTGCTGCCTCTCTTCTAGTCATTGTATAACCAAAGTGTGTACACATATGCACAGAGAGAGATTTCCAATAGCCCAGAGAAGTGGGAATGGGAAAGTACTGTCCCTGGTTGAGAACTGTAGAATTAGACCATTGCTGTAGTCAAGGAGGAACACGATAGTTACTTATATTAGTCTGATAACAGTGGGAAGATAGAGAAATGGACAGATTGAAGAATGTTGAATGGAATTCAGTTTTACTATGGTATGACATACAGGTTCCTAAAAATCTCTATACTTTCTGGGTGTGGTCACCAATGCTTGTAGTTCTAGCCCTCAGGAGGCTGAGACAGGAGGAGTGTATGACAGACAGGTTCCTACAGATCTCTATACTGTCTGGGTGTGGTCACCAATGCTTGTAGTTCTAGCCCTCAGGGGTCTGAGACAGGAGGAGTGTATGACATACAGGTTCCTACAAATCTCTATACTGTCTTGGTGTGGTCACCAATGCTTGTAGTTTTAGCCCTCAGGAGGCTGAGACAGGAGGAGTGTCTTTAGTTTATGGCCAACCCAGGCTATACACTGAGCTCAAGGCCAACCTGGGTTATAGAATAAGCCCCTGTCTCAAAAAATAAAAAATTTAAAAAACCAAACTAAAACAACAAAATCTCTTATACTAAGGAAAGCCATGCAGTAGAAATCTAGCACTAAGAAGTACAACATGCAAAAGTTCCATAGTAACATGTAAAACAAGGATAGGACTTGAATTTTTAATAAGATAGCATAGTCTGTAATTGAATGATTAAGAAATACATAAATGCTATAATAAATATAGCATTTTACTTTGGAAAAAAACCAAAGTTTGCATGTAGAAATGGACATAAGAAGGGTCAGCTTGTTGAGTTATTGTGAAGTGGT